TTATGCATCCTTTGATAGACAAAATTTCGCGCTAACGATTTTCATTTTCCTGGCCTGCCACTTATTCTTTGGGAGCTCGCCTGTCATGATGTAGCACTTTACTGGCTCCCTCCAGTCAGCCCCCCAGTCTTTAGCCGGAATTTGGTCGACCTTGTGAAACACTCGTGGCTCTGGGTCGGGATGCTCGTTTGGTTCGAGAACATCCTCCTCGATTAATGGCTCGGTCTCTAATATTGTTTCTGGAATCGCATCTCCTGCTAAGACAACGGGTTCCTTGTTAGATGTGTTTGATTCCTTTGACTTCCTCCGTTTGTTGGGTGGCGGTTCGATCTCTGGTTTGCCACGGTCGCGTGTCGCTGCTCGAGACCTTGTGACGACGAAGGTTTCTTTGTTGTCTTGAATGCTTCGCTCCGAAATGCATTCCACTGGAATAACTCTTTTCAACTCAGGATCTGATGTTGATGCCAATGCGGTAAGTGCGTCCGCAGTAGATTGGGAGGACTCATCCTGAGTTTTCGGTTGGCCTCGATAAACCGATCGAGGGTGAAAGAATTCCAAAGGGTTTCCCCTTCGAGGATTGTTCTGAAGAACTTGACAAATTCTTCAATCGGGAGAGTTGAAGCGATAAGAGCTGCGAAGTGAAACGACGAATTTGGTCAGTAAAAAAATAATAAAATGAACAGGAAAGGAATATACGACCTAGTCTCTACCAGGCTTCGTAGACCACTTCGATGGGAGTACATCGGAAAGATTCCCAATCGAAGCAGGAGTTTTCTTAATCAGGAACCAAGGATGGTGCCAGTTTTCATCCTTGTTCGGGAGGTGCGAAATGACGTTCCTGTTGGCATTTGGATACGCCGAGAAGTACCCAGTTTTCTTTGATGAACTCCTTACGCTTAGGAGTTCATTCAGCTCGGGGACTCCAATGACGTAGCCAGCCTCCGCCGCAACGGTTATAATCCCGAGGATGGTTCAGAGGAGATTGGGGGTTAATTGAGGTAAAGCAATCTCGAGAGCCGCCAAGAATCGAACTAGGGCTTCGGGGAGGGGGAAGGTCAATCCGCAGCCCTTGAAGTAAATTTCGTAAACACAAAAGTAGCCGTCACGGTGGTTCTCCGGGGATTCCGTAGGATCGGCTATTTGCGCCTCCGCTATAATTCCAGGAGGAATTTGACAAAGCCCCTTTAATCGCTCAAGGGATTGAAGAGTACAGGTGGATTTGTAATGAGGACCGGCGATATCGTTAGGACGAGTGCATTCGTCATTACTAGAACGCCTCTCATCATAAGACGGAGATTCAGGTCTCTCAGAATCAGAAGTCATTGGAGGAAAATGAAAAATTCAAGGTTCGGCGAAGAGAGTTTCGGCGAAGAAAAGTAGAGAGAAGTTTTGATTAAAGCACAAAAGTAAAAGAAGAAAATGATGGTGAAAAGAAGTTACCTCACACAAACTAAATGATGAAACCGCCTCGGAAGTTGTGTGGGAAGTGGGAAAGTTTTTCCCGTTTTAATAGTAAATAATTAATATACGGTCATAATGATGACAGATGTCACTCGGTTAAAAATGGCTAGTGCCGAAATTAAAGGAATGATGAGATTTTTGGCGGGAAATCAGAAAGATTCTCGAGCGCAATCTTTGGTCATTTAAGCATTTAAAGTCCTCCGAATTGGAATGGCACTTCGAAGAACTTGGGGGGCTAATTGTTGGTGTCGGATCCCGCACCAGAAGTCCAGGACCAACCAAAGATTGCCACGTAGAAAGAATAAAGCCCATTAGATCCACAAGTCAAGAGAACAGTCGGGGTGGTTGTCAACATAAAGAGAGTCCGAAGTGATTGCACCTCGAAACAAGTCCGGAGACAAAGTCATGGTTAAGTCGATCCTAAGGACGTTTGGGCCAGAAGACGAGGCCCATAA